GAGGCAAAAGAGACAACTTCGACTTTAATATTTGTCAAAACTATAAGGATTTTGCATTATATTATTCTCAGCTTCATGGAACCTTTGTGGTCCGGAAATCAGATAAACATTCTATGTCGGCACGTGTTATATCTAAATAGTCATTAGGACAACTTAACACGATAACAATCTAAATGATTTACTGACGATTGTTATATGTACAGTAGAACCCCGTTTTACCGGTTGCAGACCATCGATTTCCGTCCGCTTTTTACTGGGAATGGATCTTCTACTATGCAAAATTAGATAGATATAGACAAGACTCTATATATCTTTTCTGGAATAGTCGGATTTAGGACTTTGAACTTACACATTACTGGGATCTTTATAGACTTTCTTGAAATGGCATTAGTCTGTTTATTGGTGGCCAGACAAACATAGACACCGCCACCTCGCTCCGAAACAGCCATTAAATCTATAACACCCTCGTTCGAGTTGACGAGGATATCATCTTTATACCACGTAATGTGACATGGCGGGAAACAGTCAGCAGTGCAGACGACAGGAACCTCACCCTTTCCCTCAATAACTGGATCTACTACTGGCGGGTTGATTACTACCACGTCTGGACCATCTACAATTTAATTGCTATATCATTATCTATAGATGCCAACAAGTTGTGGACTCCCTACTTCCTAACTCGATGTGGGTTCTTGGAGAGGGATGTCCAGATAACCTTTAAACATGCCCGATAGGGATTCCGAACAAACCCCATATACCAAATAAACATTATTAGCTATGTCAACCCTCTGAAAAGGATGCCGAGTTGACAAAACCCAAATACCAAATATCCACTGTTTCATCTGTAGTGCAGGAGTACCTCACTAAGAAGAGGAAGTAGAAAAAGATATACTTACAAATAATGTCCAGGGTAAAATTCCCTTGGGCTTGTGATTTACGGAAATTTTTGGTGTTAGTAACCTTACAGATGTACACCCCAGCGTCAGACTTGATCAGGTTGGTTAGTTTCAGAGTTCCATCGATGCTGGGTAGTATGTTCTCTTGGGTGATGGCACCACGGTACCATTCGGCAGTACAGGCTGGCCAGCAATCAGCTGTACAGCGGACGTCCTGGTCTAGGTTACCATTCTGAACAACGCTACTGATATTAGACGGGAATATTTCGGCTTTGTCTGGTCCAACTGAAAATTCAAAAATGAAATGAAATGAATGGAGTTTTACGTCCTACTTTTCTGCACCATGTGGGCTAATGAAGACGTAATGCTGGGTGCAATGAAGGAAATTTTGTCAGGACAGTGGAATTAGCCTGCTCTTATTTGATTGACAACTGTCGAGGGTTCATTAAAGTGCACAGCCTGTAGCAAACGGATCCTCGGTTTATTATTCAAGGGAACAATATAAATATTATTTAGCTTATATACCGTTCTGTAATATGTTTTAATTTTTTGTCGTTATGTAATTAATCTTAATTTATTTTCACTGTTGTTATTTCAAAATAACAGTTCTACTAGCCATGTTGGTGTTTGCTTACTCGGTATTTCTCTTGTATCTCTGATGCCCGAGGCGATTTCCCAATTACATTGCGCAACAAGGGCAATAACTGTCAACAATAGAAATTATAACATAAACATAAATAAAATAATATTTCTTTTACAAAAATTTATTCTCCCCGAGGCTGTAAAAGTTAGATGGCATGTTTCTCGTTTCATAATAAAGAAAAAGTCGAATCCGTATGCCAAATAAGCAACTAAACTTACAAATACATCTATTTCTATA